CGCGCGGACGGTGTGTCCTCATGTTGCCCTCCACGATCATACCAGCGCCCTCCTGTAGTCGCCAGACGTCTCGCTCTGGAAAAGGACATGGGGGGTCAGGGCTCATAGTGAGCGTGGGGACCCCACTCCACCGTATGACAAAGAGACACTGATGCAGCATGGGTTGATGGGAGCGGTGGTCAACCGCCGAGAAGGCCTGAAAGAAAAAAACCCATCATACCAACGGATTAGTCATTTGAGCGAGATGGTAAATCAAGATGATTCGGGTGTGCTGTGGGACAAAGCAGTGCATCTTCTTTGTCCCACATCACACACAACTAGAGCAAGTCGAGTGAGCTACGAAAACGCGATGTTGCTCTCGACGGAGTTCGATGGGCGGTCGAGCTGCTGCGCCAAGCGTGGAGGGTAGCGTAGCTCTCTCCCCACCGTCGCCTGCGCCGGGCTTTCTCTCGCACGGCCGACTCACCGCCACGTCCTTCTCCAGCGTCTTGCCGTACAGCTTGAGGTACTCCTGCTTGATGTTGGCCAGGTCGTACTCGCGCGCGACACGATCAGGCGGATGAGGTCGTTGTCGCGGGTGCCGAGCCCCTTCATGGTGTCACGCATGCGCTCGGCGAAGTAGGCCGTCCGATTCAGCGAGCTCTTCACTGCGGGACGCACGGGAGTCAGCCGGGCACGGAAGGGGCCGGGAGGGGCACGGAGTCAGCCGGACACGGGAGGGGAACGGGAGTCAGTCGGGCACGGGAGGGACGGAGTCAGCCGGGTGCGGAAGGGACGGGAGGGGAACAGGAGTCAGCCGGACACGGGGGGGACGGGAGTCAGCCGGGCACCGGAGGGGACGGGAGTCAGCCGGGCACGGCGGGGGACGGATGTTGGCCGGGCACGGCAGGGGGCGAGGTCAGCCGGGCACGGGAGGGGACGGGAGTCATCCGGGCGCGGGAGAGGACGGGAGTCAGTCGGACACGGGAGGGACGGAGTCAGCCGAGCGCGGGAGGAGACGGGAGTCAGCCGGACACGGCAGGGGACGGGGGGGGGGGGGGGGCACGGGAGTCAGCCGGGTACGGCAGGGGCACGGAGGGGACGCCAGGGAAAGAGTGGTTCAAACGCGGGCCAGAGGCGGGAGACAAACTCAGGTCAGTGACATAGGAGAAGGATTTCTGTCCTTGACCGAGTATGATGCACCCAGGCCCGTAACAGAACACCGTTCAGTGCAGGAGGGTAGTCCGCAAATTGAGTTGTCGGGGGGGGGGGGGGAGGCGCTGATAAGCAAAAATGACTCAACACACCTCAAAGCCCCTCCCCCCCCCCCTCCACTGAATGGGAAACTGTACCTCTCGATCAGAAGCAGGAGACGGGCAAAAGTCGATGGAAGATAGGGGCAGGTGCCGATCAATGACAGAGGAGGTAGCTGCCGATGGGGGTCGAGAGTAGGGGTGTAGTTTCACAAAGTGAGTTGGGTACTGAACAGCAAAGAATGACCCAGCTAAGCCCCAAAATATGCCAGCAAAATAGGTTTTTCCCAGATCTGGTCAACTTTCTTCCCAAAGTTGAGGGCATGGAGCCCAAGTTGGGCGGGGGAGGATGAAGCTTCCCCACCCCAGCTCAAAAGGGAACTACACCATTGGTGGAGCGTTGTGTATCAAATGTATGTGGGCAATGTGCATAGGGATATAGACATGGACCCGGGATACGAGATGCGATTCTGACAGCGACGAAAGTGGACAAGGGTCGGCAACAAAATCGCGCGCTCCTATCGTACCAGTGCCATAACCGGAGCGTGCGGGTAAGCGGCTTGCTACCTGCCGCGGTTTGGTTTTCCCCTCAACCGAGATGAGAGGTCGCGACACTGGATGACACAGCAGCAGCCTCGCTCGTCAGGCCAGCCCAGCGGCAGTCCGGGCCGCCGGCACGCTCACCAACCGCCATCAGAGCCTGGCGGTAATCCCCGCTCGTCAGGCCAGCCCAGCGGCAGAGCGAGCGGCCGGCACACTCACCAATCGCCATCAGCCTGGCGGTAGTCCCCGCTCGTCAGGCCAGCCCAGCGGCAGAGCGAGCGGCCGGCACACTCACCAATCCCATCAGAGCCTGGCGGTAGTCCCCGCTCGTCAGGCCAGCCCAGCGGCAAGCGAGCGGCCCGGCACACTCACCAATCGCCATCAGAGCCTGGCGGTAGTCCCCGCTCGTCTCCGACTCGATGGCCTTGATGAAGCCCTTCTTGGAGATCTTCTCGTACTCGGCCATGATGGCCTGCAGCTGAGCAGGGTTCTGCGTCACCAGGATCACGTTGAACGTCTCCTCGTCTGTGCCCAGCTTCTTCTCGCCTGAAGAGAGATGGTGCTGTAGCGCCACTTGGCCAGCGGACTCGCAGCACACACTGGCGTGAAGTCACGAGGTGGGTAAGTGCAGGGCAGTGGCAAGAAATTCGCTGAAATAAACGCTACCACCGGTATGACGCATGGATGCCGCCCACATGGTATGCATTGTATGCTATTGCCATCCTATTCGGATCTAGCCTTTCATTAGATTATCGGAACGAATTAGATGTTTACCAGATACCAGATTAACAGGTCTGGTCGGGGTTGTGTTCTCTGGGAAGACTCCATACTACTGATACGTAAAACAGCGTCCATTATGGACCACGGATGTTGATTTTCCCAAATGAATGCTGAGGGGGGAGGGGGCAGGATCGCGTCGGGTCAGATAAAAAAGAGTGTTGTCAAAGCATGTGTTTGTGGGGCATTGCTCATGTGTTCAAATTATGAGCTTTTACACGCTGAACTCAGCCGTGCCAAACGATAACTAGTGAACAACACGTACACGAATGGTGAAGTCGACAGATAAATATATCACTTGCTTATCACTCGGACCACCGTCAAAAACCTAGAATATTCCAGCCCCACTATCATTAAAAATTATTTGTCGAGCGTACTCTCGCGTCTTACATTCTGATGTTTAATGTGTTTAAGAGTCTGTTTCACTAGTCGCATGTTGTACAATGGTAGTTGCAAGTGTACTTTGTTTTGCATGTTGATGATGGATGCTGAAGTAATGTGCTAAATTTGTCGCGTGTCACGATCATTAAGCCTCAACCTCAGGGGAGTAGTTTCGCAGGACGCGTTTGTGTGATAAGCTGGGGAAAATGACTAAACTTACCCAAAATGTACTATAACAGGTTCTTCCCTGGATTTGACTCGCTTCTTTCTCAAAGTTGAGGGGAGGGGGGGGGGCTAGACTGAAAAGAAAACCACCGAACAGGAAACAGCTGAATAAGGAACGACTAAAAATGAAAACCGAATGGAAAACACATGAATACAAAAGAGCTGAACACAACTGAAAAGGAAGCCACATCTCCGCTCCATCTCGCTGTCTCGCTCTTCCTCGGAGGAAGATGTCGTCGTCGGGCAGCATAATATTTTCTTTCTTTTTTAGGGGGCGTTGACGGTCGACGCCGGCTTTCAGTTATCAGCATGGGGCTGATGTAGCACATAGGCCGTTGTCAAGTGACTTAAGATGTTGTTTCGCGTGCACACCTTCGGGATTTGTATGCTTTCCTTATCGTGCCGCGGCAACTTGGAGCCGCCTGCCCTCGACCGCCAATCTGTCTTCATCTCTGAATTCTGAGGGATTAAAAACTCGCATTTCAAAACGCAAATGTTTAGGTGATGCGTCTTAGTTTTAAACCTATGCTGGTTACCTGTGTGACCGCATCGTATTTATTGGATCGTATTTATCGGACCATATTTATCGGATCGTATTTATCGTACCGTACTTTATCATGCTGTATGTTATCATATTTTATAGTCTAGTTCGTAGTATTACATCTTATAGTTAAGTTCGTGGCATCACCTGTTTTGTATAAATATTTTCTTGTGATGTGTTGCAACGAGTGAGTGAGTGATGTAACGACCCTAAGCTAGCAAACGTTGTAACAAGCCGAAACCTGAAAATTCACCCCACGGATGGTTGTGAAGAAAAACAAAATACAATACATCATACAACACCAGGATACAGAGTGGTAGTTGATGCGCGCCACTATTCCAGACTGTCTCGGAAGCCCCTGATCGCAGGACGGGCTTTAGGCTGGAAATCAGCACTCTCAGTAAACTCAGTCAAGTATTCTCGGCACGACTTGTGTAGTTTTGGCGGTGGGCCATTAATGGTCGTTTAATGATCGGTTAATGGTCGTCGGCCATTAACGGCTATGGCTCAGTCGGCGGGCGTCGATCATCGTGCTTTTGAGACTATTTCGTTGAAAAACTGGCGTCGAAGTGGAACGTTAGGCACATGTCAATGGTGCCTTCGTAATGTAGATTCGACTTGTGGGCGACGGCTAGTCGATTCGGTCACGTTTTGTGTGCTAATATGCGACGGGTTTGTTTTCATTGATCAACGGTTCACTGACACGACCAAGTCTTGTTCGTTTTGCAAGCCTTGGATAACACGTTAATGCAGAATAATGCAAATTATTGCAGGCTGTAGAAGTTCAAACATCGCTGGATAAGGTCTTGTAACAAAAATCGAATAGAGTCCGGCAGACATGGATGGTGTAAAAACAATCATGCGGCACGTAGTAAACACAGAAAATGATCGAGCAAATACTGTATGAACGTGGAGGCCTAAAACTGTGACTGGCTTAATCATCTGTACTTAGCTGGACAAGACATTGCGGTGTTCACTGTCTTTGTTGGCTTTCACTATTGAGAGATAGAGACATTCTTATCTCTCTTACATCTCCTACAAACTTCCCCAGAATACTAACAGCCTATAGCTCCCATTCTTAACGTTCTTCTCGCACTAAATCTCCAGAAGGCTAGGGGACGACCGACTTACAGTAGGGGGCCAAGTCAGACCATAGGGGGAAGGGGGAGGGGGGCAGGGGTCCACCCAAAACGATAAAAATCAACACCCGTGTTATTGACGTAAGACAGCATATACAAACTTTTCATAGACTCGAAAGACCAAAGTTGTCAGCCAACACCGAACGCCACGAGCGCAACGCAAGCAGATTGTCCAGCCCCGCAACGACTCTGCGTGATACAGAGTCAACCCCGCGGAGCGGTTGCAGCCTCTGAGACGTAAACAATGACGCCAGAGTCATGCCCAACGGGCTCGCGGGCGCGCGGGCTCTGGTTGGATTGGTGCCATGGGACTCTCTCAACCAAAAAAAAGAAAGAAAAAAAAGATAAAAACAGGCCGTTTCGTAGCTGCGCCCGTCTGAAAGGGTCACTTTGGCTGCCCGGGCTGGGACCGGAGAGCCGGGCGGGTCGGGCAGCTCCAAGGTGGACCGGCGCGGTGCAGCTATGATCGAGCGGGGCGTGTCGGGACGTGGGACACTGCTCCAGGACGAACGGGGTGGAGTTGTGCCGCCTGGGCGTCAGGCTCAGTTGGGACGTGGGACACTGCGCCAGGGCGACGGGGTGGAGCTGCGCCGCTCGGGCGTCGGGCTCAGTCGGGACGTGGGACACTGCGCCAGGGCGACGGGGGTGGAGCTGTGCCGCCTGGGCGTCAGGCTCAGTTGGGACATGGGACAACTGCGCCAGGACGACGGGGTTGGAGCTGTGCCGCCTGGGCGTCAGGCTCAGTTTGGGACGTGGGACACTGCGCCAGGACGCCGGGGTGGAGCTGCGCCGCCTGGACGTCAGGCTCAGTTGGGACGTGGGACACCGCGCCAGGACGCCGGGGTGGAGCTGCGCCGCCCGGGCGTCAGGCTCAGTCGGGACGTGGGACACTGCGCCCGGACGACGGGGTTGGAGCCGCGCGCCCCGGGCGTCAGGCTCAGTCGGGACGTGGGACACTTGCGCCAGGACGACGGGATGGAGCTTGCGCCGCCCGGACGTCAGGCTTAGTTGGGACGTGGGACACTGCGCCAGGACGACGGGCTGGAGCCGTGTCACCTGGGGGTCAGGCTCAGCAGCTGCAGGCTTCTCACCGGCCTTGTAAAGCGCCTGCGCCTGGTTAGCCGCCTTGGCCTGGTCCACCCGGCCCGACTCGTCGCGGTTCGCCTGCCGAGGGTCAGAGATCAGCACGAGCTCGCCTGCCGAGGGTCAAAGGTCAGCACGAGCTGCTTGATGGCGTGGCGGAATGCATGACTTTCTGCGTCGCTTGGCCTGAAGCCCGGACGGTCATAGTGGAAAAAGTACGCATAATAATAATAACCATTTCTCGACAGCAAGTGCCACGACATTTTGACATCATTATTCGCGATGCATAAACACATCTGCGGGAATACGATGCCACTTTAAATTAGTGGGTGAGATTTATCTTTATCATGCTAAAACAATCTATCCAGAGCTTGATTACACAAAGACGTGGTAACTAACGCAACCCAACGTAAACATGATCAGACGAGTGAAGTACACAGCTTCGGTGCTGCATAGAGCTGTAGATGGCCCCAGCTGTCGCCCGATGATGAGCGTCCGGACAACGAGGATACGGGCACAGCACCACAGCCGGCTAGGCCACACTTCTCGGGAGGGGGAAGTGCTTCATAAGGCAAAGCAGACGCGAGGACAGCGTCAAAGGTCAAATCGGTAACAGCCAGAGCGTACTCTGTCCGTCCCAACACCAACGTCACCGAAGCGTCACAAGCAAGCTCTGCAGCATCCTACTCAGGCTGTCGGGGGTGAATGGCTCTGAGAGGCTGCCGACCACAACCAAACGCGTGGAAGCACGCGACGTCAACGCATTAAGGGCATGCGGTACAGCAGTTAGGAGGGATTGCTGATTCACGTAGTGTGCGCCCTTTTTAGTTCAATCGATTCCTATGTTTGCGTTCCTGCCCCGACCTGACACATCCCTATTTCATCAGCTGAATGAGTCACGGCAACTCCGGCACAGCGTTTTCTTGACGATGAAATGAGGGGTGCGCGGCCAAGCACACCCGCTGTTGGTCACGTGCTAGAGGATATGGCGCGCGGTTTTCTGCGTGTCTCGGACCCAGTCCGGGTCATCGGAAATGGCAATGACAAACATGCGGTCCTTCACCTCAGTGCAGTGACTGCACGTTCACACAGCCTTATGAATGGTGGTGGGCTGGGGCGTACGCACCGAGTGTTGTGCTTTCTACACGAGATGGAGTCCTGGTCTCCCCAAGACATTTCTTCTAGGACAGTGCCGCGTTGACTAGTAGTCCGTCCGTCCCTAGTAGCCCCCCCCCCCCCCCTATCCGTTCCCCTAGAAGACCTGAATCTCAGACACTGCTGCGTCCTACCTGCGTGACGCAGCCCCGCAAATAAATCAGAGAATACGCAGCCCTCGTCAGATGTCCTATACGAGCTCTGACTGTATCCGGCCGCCACAACGCCCCCAAACTGCGCGTGGTCGGCTGGCCGGCCGTGTGCCCGCCGTACCACCTCCCTCAATCGCGCTGTCTCCCCAGTCCGCCACCTCCCCTCAGTTGCGCACCTTCCCCAAGTCGCGCCACCTCCCCTCGGTCGCGCCAACCTTCCCCTCGGTCGCGCACCAATCCCCCTCAGTTGCGCTACCTTCCCTCGGTCGCGCCACCGTCCCCTCAGTCGCGCCACCATCCACAAGTCGCGCAGCCTACCTCCCCGCCAGTCGCGCCACCTCCCCAAGTCGCGCCAACTCCCCAAGTCGTCGCCACCTCCCTCAATCGCCGCTGTCTCCCCCGTCGCCACCTCCCTCATTATGTGCCACCTCCCCTCGGTCGCGCCACCTCCCCTCGGCCGCGCCACCTTCCCTCGGTTTGCGCCACCTCTCCTCAGTCGCGCCACCATCCTATCCCCAAGTCGCGCCACCTGCCCTCACCCTGCAGGATGGCCGTGAGCCAGGACGCTTTGAAGTTGGTCGCCTGACACTCTGTAGCGATACGACTGCTCCAGAGGACCGGTGGGTACACTGCAGGTCAGAGCGGACGGGCTGTGACGGTCCCCCCGGGGGCGGCGGGGGACCCGGCCCGGGCAGTGGTGAGAGACAGTCAGGGCAGGCCACCACCCGCGCTCCAGCTGTGCATAGCCAGCAGAGACACAGCATGCGCAGCGCCAACCAGCCGTCGGTGGTTCGGGGAAGGGGGGTGTCCTCAGTGAGCTTGTCTGTATGTGTAGTGTGGGGACGGCAGTGAGATTCCATGACTGGAAAGCGCTGAACGTAGGTTGTATTCCAGCTGCATTCCATTTTTTTCCTTTTTTTTACATTTTTCCATTTTTAACGCAGCGTACTCCGACGGAAGCAAAGCAGTATTAGCAGTAATCAACGTTAATAGTCTGCCATGTATTTTCAGCATATCTTTAGCGTTTTATGTCATATTTGGCATCAAGCATGATGTAAGCGAGTGGGCGAAGGCCCCCACACAGGCAGCTAAATAAGCTTTTACTGCGCACAGCTGTTTGATATGGGTCTAGTTGGATTATGCCTCATTCCCCTCTGTTCGGAGCAGTAATTAGGTGTTTTGCCTAGCCCTCACTCTACCACGCCCAGGCAGGGTCAGAGGACAAAGGCCACCACAACCTTACCTGCAGAAGAGCTGTGAGAATTTTCCTGAAATGGCCGCTCGTCTCTTTATGCACGTCCCTCTCCAAGTTACGATTGTACACTGCAACCACACCAAATGGGCCATGATCACTATAAGAGGCATACTCTTCATTGCTAGATCAGTATAACTGTAAACTCGCTAATACTATCTATCATACTAAAACTATCATCGGTGTCATCGGTAAAACTATCATCGGTGTCATCGGTAAAACTATCATCGGTGTCATCGGTAAAACTATCATCGGTGTCATCGGTAAAACTATCATCGGTGTCATCGGTAAAACTATCATCGGTGTCATATACAGTAAAACGGTGGCTCATTTGTGGACTAACAGTGGCTGCTGCCTAAACCGCGACCCCGTACAATCCCCGTGCCGAAAAGCCATAACGCAGCGGCGATGTTCTCCGCGGTCTTCTCCAGCGCATCGAATACTGACCAGCCCTTTACGTCAGAAAAGCGGGTTGACCCCAACCTCAGCCACGTTCTCCGCCGCTACCCACAGGAAAAGAAACGACCACCCAGTGGCTCATCGCGTCCCCGCACTCCTCCGGACGACATCCGCGAGGACCCTGCCCTGCCGCTAGGTGGGGACACTGCGCACTCGGCGCCGGTCTGCGTACTTCTCTGGTACGTCTCCTTAATTGCGCGGACCTCCGCGTTGCTGTGCGTGCACAGCGTCTCGAACAGCACGTCCTCGTCCGTGCCCAAGCCTTCCATGGCCTTGTACAGCTGCTGCGCCAGGTACTCGTAGGGCGGCATCATCAGACCCAGGATCACGTCCTCGAACTTGCCGCCCAGCTCCGACTTTCAGGTCCTTGATCAGGTCCTGCGAATGGCGGGGGGGAGGGGGAGGGGGGGCGGTCAGGCGCTGGTGGCGCAGGCGGAGAGCGTCGCGAACTGAGGATAGCAACGAAAGCGATGGAGTGGCACAGGCTAGCAATACTATGCCAAACAAAACTGCGTGGAGTGGAAAGTTTTGGCGTGTCCAAAGCGTGCAAGTTTCGTCCTACCTACATCCTACCGGATCCACGCCTCACTCAGGCTTTGGACATGTCACAAACGCCACGCGACATCCGAAATATACTTGCCTCCTGAACTGAAATCAAAAGTTCGTCAGCTGGGCAACGAAAAGAAAACCAAAGTTCAAAAGACAAAACGAAAAGTTCGGCGGAGCGTGACCTTGGCGATCCCACCAATGTCATTATGATCCCTTTTATTGTGATCCCTCATCGCAGCCCTGAGCACCGACCCCCGCGTCGTCAGAACACCGAGCACGTACCCGACCGTAACCGCTCTTGTACTGGACGGCGATCTGCTGGCGCTGTGCGTTGTTCCGTCTGCAGAGCACGCTGATGATGGCCTTCTCGTCCGTGCCCAGGCCCTTCATGGCCTTGCGGAGCGTATGGCCGTCGGCGGCCGGGTCAAAGCCAGAGGCGGCGCGAATTGTCCCCGACAGCTGCGGACAGAGGGCGACACTGGGTCAGCCAGTCGACCCCAGCATCTGGAGGCGCACAAAGCGGGTCAGAGTCCTGGGGGTGTCGGCATGGAAACTAAACACAACGTTTGTAAGATATTTAAGGCGAGGGCTGGAGCCCAACTAGGTGCAGATGGAGCCGCCCGACTTGAAAAGGAAACTGAACGGCTGATAATATTGGTGTGTAGCGCGTGTTTTGATTCCACGTTTTACCCATATTCTAGTCGCTGTTCTTTGGTGGCCCTGTTCACAATTACCCTCCGTAAGTTCCTCAGTACACCTGCGAGGAGCATTTGACATAAATAGGAACAGTACCAATAACATCATTCCTCGTTGAACAACTGGGAAAAAGATATTACTGACATTTTCGCATTCGATAATCGGTCATGATGACCCCCTGCGCGTTCACGTATAGTTGCAGACTTCTTATAAGAATCAATTCATTGATTTCTCTCTCTGAATGGTCCTGTGCTCTGCATACGACTTTGCGTTCCACAAACGCATAAAGGGTTCGTATTTCGTAACTGCCTGAATTCCAGCATATGTATAGTTGGGTCAAAACTGGTCGCCGAAAGGGACCATCTCTGTCTGGTTGCTGACTTCTCGCAGGTGTTCGATGAATATCGGACGAATACGGCACGTGGACTCTGCGACATAGACTATGTCCCTCCCAAGCTTTTGTGCGGTTTCATTCCCTGTCGTAAGCCACATTGCTCTGCGTGCCATCCCCTTGAAACGTCCGAACATTGCGCACACGCAGTCAGCAGCTAAGAAGTTTTGCTTCAAGTAGAGAAAGAGTTGAATGTGTTTGAATATCAAAATACTATACATCAAGACTGCACAATGGCAGCAACGCACCTGGAACTGCGTCTGCAACGGGCTGAGATCAACCAGATGGATCGGTAATACCGCCCCTTGCTGACCTTAGCTCTCGGTCACAAGTGACACCACACAAACTGGCAATCCCTTCTCCTGCCTGGACCGGAGAGTAGATGCAATTACACCCAGCTTGGAAACGTTCTCTGACCGCTTTTCAGCACGTGCCAAACCGAGCGATGAATGCTCCGGGTGTGGTCTCCAGTAACGTACGTGACTCTGACCACCCACCCCAGTTGTCTGGGTTAAGCTGAACGTATACCCATGCTTGAAGAGGGAGGCTCATCTCCCTGGCTACCCGGGTTATAATGCCGCGCATCATAATTCGAGTCGGCTCGTTCCTGACGTTTCCTTCTTCGACCTGCATGGGCGCGCAGGTTACGAATGGATACCCAATGCTCGAGAAAGGCGGCTGCTGCGCTCCAGGAAATGATTGTTAACGGTGATGGGAAGGTTCACGCAGCAGTGGCGAAGTGCTGGAATGAAATGTCTCGCGACGCTTTTGGGGCGACGTGCTGTTCAAAAAATCGCTGGGGCCAGAGGGCGCCAAGCATAAAACCATATAACGGGCATCTAATGGGGGCATGTTGTGGGGGTATAAGGAAATGCATCATGAAATGTTATCGACTTAAGCATTGCACGCTAAAAACACGGCGATGAACAGAGCGTTTGATATGACCAAAACCCGTGAGCTCCGCTCACCCATCCCGCTGCGACGATGCGAACAATAAGGCGCGCCGACTGCACACACAGCAGTCGATCGCAACCAGTCCACCCACGCTCCATATCAGGGCGCCGCCGAACGAGCGTCATCTGACGGATGTGGTCATCTCCTCCCCTGCCCATACGCCCACAACATCCGGCGAGACGTGTGGCCCCGAGATTACCGCGGCGTCATCGCCCAAACCATGCCTGACACGCCACCAGGAGAATGGTGGGCGGCAAGAGTCTTCGGTTCACCCGTGGTAACAACACGTAGCTGATTTTTAAATTCGATCTCGGTGCTGCGGGAGGGAGGGGCAGGAGGAACAAATGCTCCCTCCCGTGCCCCCCCCCTCCCCCCCCCCCACATAACTAACCCACCTCACTTTTTCCTTCCGGTTCGTGTTACCCAGTACACCCACGTTTCGACGCTTCAATAGACAAACTCGGTCAGACTACCATTGGAAATTGCCAGTCAAGGCACAAGACCACCGTCATTTTCAGCGCCGCTTCGCGGCCCACGCCTGCTTTGAGCTCCATGTGCCTTTACCGTCATCGCCACACGCCGCATAGCAACACCCACGCGTCATTCCGGCGCAATTGAGGAGCGGGCCGGCCGTTGGGACGTCCAGTGGTAGCAGAGATGTGTAACCCGTGAAGGTCAGAAGGGTGTGAAAGACAGCCCTATGGTTTAAAGGGCGCGTCAAATACAATGGCTATTTGCGCCCCAGTGTCCACGGCCCTCAGCGTGACAGGCGGCACGGCCCCTCAGCGTGTGACAGGCGGCACGGCCCCTCAGCGTTGTGACAGGCGGCACGGCCCCTCAGCGCTGTGACAGGCGGCACGGCCCTCCGTCAGGCGGACGGCCCTCAGGGTGTGACAGGCGGCACGGCCCCTCAGCGGTGTGACAGGCGCAGCTGTGCTGCTGGCATCCACTTAGGACCATCAGCATGTTGTGCGGACCTCGTGACTGGCATGCCGGGACCCGAGCACCCGAGGATCACGGGATCCGGGGACTAGGGGACCCGGCGACCAGGGGACCAGGGGACTACGTGATCCGGGGAGCAGACAAGCAGGGACACGGGGACCAGATCAGGAGACCAAGGGGCCAGGTGACCCAAAACTCAGCGGCACACATGCGCCTGACCGAACGACTTACTCGATTACAACCAGAAGGTCAGCCAGCAGACGAGGGAGACAAGTAAGAATCAAAACCACCCAGGGCAGACGGTTACGGGAGAGGGAACACTTGAACGCCACAATCACTTCTGAATGTAAAATTGGAAAAGCCCGCACCGTTACACCGTAAGAGATTCGAAAAATATTTTCATCTCTTTTCTAGTGCTCCCCTCGAAAAAAATTGGCGAGATTCAAACAAAAACGTTAACAAACACAGTTAATATCTGAAATTAACATGACGCGAGACAACGAGGCCAGACTCACTGGCTCGCGGCCTGTGTGAGAACGGCAGCCTCCCGCGGTACCTCGGTCCGGCCTTTGACGCCCTCCTTCTGCGCTTCAACCGCGGCGAGCGCTGGCCTCTAGTGACCTGCCCCAAGACGACCGAAAAAACGCGGGGCCGTTTTTCGGCAGCGATGGCCAAATGGGCAAAAACTGTGCGAAGCACGGCGGACGGTCGCTGTGGGCGCCATGCTGTCCTTGTTAAGGTGTTCCTTAAGGGCTTGTTGAGCGCTACGCTAGCGCGCCTAACAAATACAGATACAGATACAGATGCAGATGAGCGCTACAGATACTGGTAGGCAGAACACGCTCCATGCTACGTCACCTGCTTTCCATACTCAGTTTCTTATTCTACTCTAGTATCCGTAGTCCGCACATTCTATCCATCATCCCAGACTTCTTTCCCTTGTCCCCAACATGACCTGATAATCATGTTACCACGGACATAACCATATACCAGAATAACCATATGTGTACTGGGTGAATGTGCATAGGAGTTCAATACAGCTCCGAATGTCCATACAAGCCTGAATAGAACCATCCAGGAGCAGGAATAGGCAGGGCATCCCGTGGTACGCAAGCCAACCCAGGCTACCATCTTACGTAGGAGGCCAACCTGGGAATACGGCCCGTAGTACACAGGCCAACCCAGGCTACCCATCCCATGGCAGGGAGTCTGACTCAGGGTACCGACCCATCTTACCCAGGTCAAGCCCGGCTACTGACATCATTCGTGGCGGTGAATGCCTTCATGTGGCCCGCATGCTGTGCTTGATAACGAGGCCTGCGGGCGCATGGGCACGCATCGCATATATCTAGGTCAATAACCGGCGCACGGCTGCTCTGGTGGCCAGTCGAGCTGTACTGATCGACAGCGTGGCATTCGTGGCATTTCACACGCCGGCTGTTCTTGCAGGGTCCCCCACCGAGTGTTATTTGTTCTGACCTCTGGCTGTCAGTCACCACTGCAGGCCGCCATATTCAGCCAGACCTGCGGGTAGCAGCAGCCAAGCGCTCCTTGCGTCCGGAAACCTGTTGTGCAGTCGCACGCGGTACACTCTCTGACACGAACAAACTGTGTCGGCTGCAATTAAACCCCGGAATGTCAAGAAGCGTACCACCTGTGGAATGGAGTGTGGTCCCCTGCCCCCCCCATCTCCGCACTCCCGGTGCATTGAGAGACGCATGCAGCAATGAATGCAACGCGAGCCCTTGGATGGCGTGGAGGGTTTTGTCTTCAGCAGCTCAGCTGACATATGAACTTAGTCCCCGACACCGCTTGTTAATGCTGTATAACTTGGCACCTTGGTCCCCCGACGCCGCTTGCTGATGCTGTATGATTTGGCCACTTTGGTCCCCACGACATCGCTTGTTGATGTATGATTTGGCTACCTTGATTCCCCGACACCACTTGTTGGTACTGTATAACTTGGCCACCTTGGTCCCCCGACACCGCTTGTTGATGCTGTATAAATTGGCCACCTTGGTCCCCCGACACCGCTTGTTGATGCCGTAACTTGGCCACCTTGGTCCCCCGACACCGCTTGTTGATGCTCTATGATTTGGCCACCTTGGTCCCCTGACATCGCTTGTTGATGCTGCATGATTTGGCGACCCCGAGGAAACACTACGCAAACTGGCCCGAGTTTGCGAGTCTCCACAGCGATTCATGAGCTCCTGGATCGTCAGCAGCACGGGACAGCGGCCCAGACAAGAGCGATATCCGCTGTGGTGAAGCATCCTTCACGCCATTTCCCGCCAGATAAATATTTGCCAGACGATGGGCCAGCAGGGAAACGTGCGATCTTCCCGCGAAGCCGAGGACAGATTATTCCCTGTCTGTTTATGTGTCAGGAAAACTCCACTTGGAAGCAAAATCCTGTGAACATGTCGGTGAAGTACAACGATAGATACGCGCGGAGGCATCGTTCGGGCTCGCAGAT